ACACAGTCGAGGGTCAAGCGAGTCGCCCCGACGCGCGTTACTTGTAAGTAAGATCAGACCGATTAAAGACAAAAGTTTAGCAATAAAGATTCTCTTGAAATAATTAATTTTCATATATATATATAAATCTTTTGTCGATCATATTAACAGAAGACCATACTTAATTTTTTAACTTTTTACATCTTACTCACCCATAACAAATAATGAATTATTCGGTAATTTATCGAATAAACGTGGTAATATTTCATTTACATTCTGTTCAATATCAATGTTTTCGATCATTTTGACTTCTTCAAACATCTAAGAAATAAAGATGATAAAATTCTGAGAGAAAAACATATTTTTAAAATAAACTTACGAAATGTGTATATGAATAACCAGGAAATTTCTCTAGTATTTCATTAATTGTGTGTGAACGAATGAATGACCGACGATAACCAAACGTTTTCTTCCATAATGTAATTAATTCGTCGTTATGTATTGTTTCATTTTCAATACCTTCGTTCATTGTTATGATTAATTGTTCAACATCACTTTCATCCATAATAGTACTAACATAAATCTAAAACAATGAAGAGCATTATTTTGTATGCTAATTTTAGAATTAAAATTCAACTGACCATTTTATCAGATTTTCGTTCAGCAGATAGTGCTTCACTTTTTTTTGCAAAGCGTCCAGAATCTTTTCCAAATTTTTCTTTTTTTTTCTGGACTACTGCAGATGGGTTTTGTAAAAGTCGACGTTCATTTTTGAACTTCTGTTTTACTGCTTCTCGCCATTCATTCTATGAATAATTTGTTCAAGAAAATTATAAGAACAAATATTTTCTTACAGCTGCATTTGCATCTGTTGTTGAAATATTTAATGCTTTGAGCAAAGCTTGTGTAATTAAAAAATAATCATTTGCTTTAGGATATCTATTGTGAAAAAAAAAAAAAATTTGATTTTGAATCTACAAAATTCATTTCTATTATTTTATACAATAAATTATATGTGGTAGCAACAGCTTTAAACACAAAGTTGAGCAATATTCGTCTATGATTTGTATGTCCACAGAGTTTCATTAACTCATTCTCATCAATAATCACTTGTATTTCTTCTGGTAGTGATGAAAATGCAAAATCAGTTGGCAAATTCTGTTGAGGTTCTTCTAAATCATCAGTTTCATCATGATTAACCTCATCGTCGATATTTGATGCTGCATCAAATTCGTCTCCATTCATATTGTTACTAGATAATGATGGATTATTTAGTAAATTTTGTGTTGAAGTTGTTGATTGTGATGCCGTGCATGTATCAAATGTTTGCTTGCTAGATTGATTCAGAATATCTCCATCATCTAATTGTTCATTTACAATGTTATTACATTGTTTGATTAATAAGTCACGTTTTTCAGTGAATAATATTCGATCTTTTAAGTTTGGAAATAATGTACGTACTTCATCGTATGGCAATCTTGCTAATGTAGCTCCATCAATTTCCTCTTCTAAATAAAAATTGAAGAAATGTATCAGTAAAACTATATGAAAAGGCATGTGGATAAGATATGATGAAAGCTCTGGTTGGTTGTAAACAAAAGAAAAACGTGAAATACATATGAAATGGAAAGAAAAGGAAATATCCATTAAATAACATCAAACAGTCAAACGAGACAAAACATTAACATAAGCAGAACCTTGAACATAATAAATATCTAGTCCATGAGGCAAAATGTGTAGAAGTTGATCCAAGTCTAATAGATCGAATGTTTTACAAAATTCGATCTCGTACGCCCAAAGTGTTTCACTGAATCCTATCACTTGTAAATGTTCAACAACTGCTTTCCAAATATTTTGTATTTTCAAGAAATACAGGATAGAAACAAAACATGGTTCTTCTTCTACATCAACTAATCTTTCAACAAATACTGATTGTCTCATCATCATAACATTTTTGTAATAAATTGTTTTACATTCAACAAGTATGTTTTGATTCATATCATTTTCTGTTAATTAATGCTGAACAGGTATTGGTAATGAACAATACTGGATGGTTTTTAACAATGTTATCTCAGTACATATATTATAATAATTCTTATTAGATAACATTAGACATTGTCGAAGTTGATGTCTTTTGGCAAGAGTAAATGCTGGATTTTTGAAATTCAGCGATCTAATAGCCAATCTTTTGAAATACAAGTGTTTACCTTCAGACCGCATACACCAAAAACGAGTTGCTGGTCCATTTGCATTAATTGTTCTCAGATACTCAGTGACAAAATGAATTTTCGGTATAATGAGATCGG